GTTACAATGCTGCTAAAATTTGCCTATCTGTGATCAGCTGAAGGGGATGACAGAAAAGTGATTCAAATATAAATTTTACAAGGTAGAATTTGTTTTCATAAGCTGCATTTTATTCTTTATATAAATGTTTTCATTCTTGCACTCCACAATAGGTGGTTACAAAATTAAGAGTTGGTTTATTTAAACAGATGAGACAGTATCTAAAGATATACAAACTGACAGAATAGTACAAATATAATACAAATTTACAGATGTTGCAGTATAATTATAAAGCAAAATCTATGGAAAAATGAAGGTTGTAAGTAGAGTTTATAGAAATAAATATTTCTTTATTATTATTGTGCAGCCTTGGAGGTATTTTAATGCTCTTTCTTCCTGGGATAAAAATGACTACTTGATATGCTAGAAGCTAAATCTATGGAAAATTTTCACTTAGTTCTATACAAAATAACTATGGGTTGTGTCTCATTGGGACCTGGCTAGCCTGGTGATGCTCTGTATCTGATAGTGGGAAGAATAAAAGCCTTAATTTATAGTCTGCTTTTTAAATTTGAAGGATTTTCTGTGCACTATATATCTTTTTATGGTACAGAATACCTTGGAGGAGTATCTGTGGCTCCACAGTTCACTTTCTGGATGTTTAATAACAGCAAACAGTAAAATTTATTTAGTGATGGTGAAACAGAGGAACAGAAATTCCTGAGGGGGCTAAGTTCTGATTTACTCAGCTGAAGTTGCAGGAAATAAGTAGCAATGAAATATGAGTAAAAATATTATGGCTAAACAAATGTACAAATCGTTTCAATCTCTGACTTTCTTTGGGCTGTTAAGAGAGCTTCAAATCCCTAATGATCTTAGATTTCAGATGAAAGTGGGTTAGCAAGGTGCAACTCTTATGAATAGTTGTTATGGAAAAAAAACAGCACTGTCTTCCAGTCATTTTTCTGAAACAACATTCATATTTGGTCCCTTGTGCTGCTGGAAAATTTTCATAAGAGATGTGCACATGGCACAGCATTGAGCTGGATATTCCCAACACACCCACACAGGCAGAAATCTCCACCCAGGTTGCCAAAAGCAGCATTCCTGCTGGAGGCTGTGCTCAGTCTCCACATGCAGTCCAGGTTTCTGGCCTTTACACAACCCAGCTTAGCTAGAAAAGTCTGCATGAAATGCATCTCCTGAAGAGAG